TTCGTGTGTGCATGAGCGGATGAGAATATTCCAACGGGACTGTAGGAAGTGGCTACGCAGATAGGAATTGATAGTCCCCTGGGTTGGTTCCATGGTTGATCCACGGGGCTCGGACCTGCGGGAGTGCTTGCTGTGTCGCGGCACTCTCTCTCTTCCTCCGCGTCCTGATCGTGTCTGCTGTCCTAAATACAAGTGATACCGTCACCTTCAACACACATGGGTATACTAACATACATAGGGTCTATGAAACCGCCACGCGAAAAATTGTCCCTATATGCATACTGTGGCTGCTGGTCTTAGTCATTTCAAGTCTATCTTAACCTTGTCTCGAGCTTGTCGTTAAGAAAATGATCGGGATAAGCCACCCTTGTTGAAGCACAGGGGACGCCGCTTTTTGTGAGCAAAGCCGTGGCTGGAGAGCACGGTCGATGTCGCTCGTTCGCTGAAATTCCAAGCGAGACCAATGGAGCAGGCAGGGTGTACTAGTGTACACGCATGCCGTAGTCGTGAAGACCATTGACCTCGCACCCCTACAATGCCGGGGTGGAGCGATATGCCGGGTTTTCGCCAGCCCAGGCTACAGTACGGTTCATAAGGATGAACCAGAATCTGGTAAACTTCCTTGAGTTTGGACGGAAGAAAGGGGGTGAATGGGGGGGGGTGTACTCATAGTCGTGCATGCCGTAGTCGTTAGACCATTGACCTCGCATCCCTACAAAGCCGGGACGGAGCACGCCGGGTTCTCACCGGACCAGGCTCTCACATCACCAAGCGCGAAGCGCCGTGAGATATTCGGCGAGTCGCATGAAGGGTGCGCTGCATCCTGCTAAGGGTTTTCGGCATCTTGTGCTTACTTCCTTGCGTACGGATGATGGGGGGAGGAGCAAAAGAAACACAAACAGCCCGCACATGCCAAACCAAGGTAGCAAAAAGATGGAACAAATGAAAAAAGAAAGCGTTCAGAAACAGAATGGAGGCTACGCTACAAGCAGTATCCATCACTACGAGCGAATGAAGACGAAACAAAGTGCCATGAGCGTCACGGGAGTACCTATACCATGCGCTGTAACTGTGTTGAGCGCTCACATGGCATAGCGCGCTTCGGACACTTTCCCATCCTAACCGCCGTCTACTTAAGAGGCCAGTAGGAAGAGACGACCAAACCCACCGCCAGACAAGGTGTGAAGATGAGCTTTGAAGGCGGTTCTGTCAGTCCACGGCTGCTGCCGCTGCTTACACCACGACCACAAGGTGTACTTCCGCTTTCCTCGCGCGGGGCTACAGGAGCAGTACGTGCATCTCCAACACGCCGTTTCTCTTTTGATGTCCAACTTGCGGACCCTGGTTTTTTATCTCACGCGGATGCTCTTGCCGCACCTCACACTCTGGCGCATAGGATGTTGTGCACGCACCCTCTGTATGCATCCTCATCAATATATTTCAGGCCGGCATCCCTGTACCCTGCGAAACCAAGCCCTCGAGAACGGATGAAACCCCTGCAAGGCTTGCAAATTTCGAGGGAATCCACCCAACACCACTGACTACTTCAGAATGCTCGCGCGTCACACTTACTGCTGCTGACCTCCGGGTGGGCACAGCAACGCGCACCCCACCGTGCATCTAAACAAGTAACTACCACTTTCCGGGGGAGTCAGTCGCTCCGATCGTCTACGGGAGACGGTTTCCTTGACAATCTTCCGATGACTAGGAGATTTGTTCAAAAATCGAACCGGCCATGACGCTCCTTGTCGTCTTGTGTCACCAACGGCGGTAGCTGGTTTGAGACGATACAAACGGAGATATACCCGTTGCCCTCCCTCTTCGTTGGAGTTGCTTCCACCACCCGGTGGCATGCATTTCGGCCATAGCACGTGCTTAGCGTCCTGTTGTCTTCAAACCCATCCCCATTACGCGTGCAGTTGGCAATCAGGTTCCTAGCATTTCATATTCCCCTGGATGTTCCCACATAGAACAAACAAGGACGATTGTTACGGTTTACGACTCCGTGCCAAGAGCTGCCAGGGAGTGTACGACAGCAGCACTAGCCACACACCCCGGTGATAGTCCCCCACCTCCCATTGGCCCGCCACCAACTCTTGTGTTATTCACGTAAGAATCTTCAGTGCTCCCTGCGGACACTGTTATTTTTGCGACGCAAATTCCGAGGTGGGCCAACATTCGCTGTGCCCTTCTTTCGAGACATTTCCTGCTTTGCTTTGCTACACAGCAGTGTTGTAATCGTATCGGCTTTGTTCGGGGTTTTCCGCGTCCATTTTTTATACCCGTTGTTGATAGAAAATTGTTGATAGATTACCACTTTTCGGGCAGTTGGCCTGTGACCAAGGAAGTCCGCTGGACGCTGTTGTACGGGTATTAGACGGTACAGAGCAAGACCGGAACTGAAAAATATGAAGACAACAATTACGGGGTTGAAACTGTTCTGAGTTTGCTCTCTTTAATGCTTCAATCTAATACGTAGATATAAGAAATGAAAGCAACCTTCCCATCGCTTAGGTTCAATGTAGAGGATACCATGAAGAGGCGTCCCGCGTACTGCCTATGGAAGCCGGAATCCAACCATTAGACTATAATAGTCAGCGCTGACAAGTCTAATGGTTTGATTCCGGCTTCTTCTTTATGACACGTTCAGGTCTGCTACTGGAGCTGAAATATCGAAGGTTGCAACAGTCTCTGAAAAAAGTCCGGAATCGGCGCCGGACTTGCCGGAACCACACACTTTTCACAGGCATGCACCGCCACGGACATAAACCCCTGGAACGGAGGATGGTCAGCAGCAGCTAGTGGCATCAGCTAAGTCAACCCGCGGTTCCGGAGATTAGGGTCAGTAGCGGCGAGCACAAGCAGTACAAGACATACGGTGTCGGTCAATTTGGGGAGATTTGCGGAGATAGTAGTGTCCTCCAAGAAGCAGATTTGAGCACGCTACCACCCCCCCGCTACTAGAAATATCGAGTGATATTGAAAAACTCATAAGGGAACCTACATAGTGAAAACCGATCTTGTTTGAACGACTGCCGCTTTGACTCTTTTGGTTTGATTTTGTACTTGTTCACTTCAAAAGACGCGTGAGGTAGACGCGTGAAATATTTGTTTGCAGCAGCCTCTACCGCCGCCCTGTGCGAGAATCAACGATTATTGTTTTCGCCATGTCTTCGGACTGGTCTTATGCATCTCTTGTGCGTTTCCTGCTGCTCTTGCGTTTGTTTCAAAACTAGTCAACATCAACATTCTTTGTCTGCCATCTCTTTCCTGATTTGGAACAAAAATCCCGTATCCAGCTGGTTCCCACTCACTGCTGAAAGACTTTTGACACATCCTTTTCGACCGTGGTATTATCTCGAATGGGTAGTGTAGCCTTAGCCTTTCTGTGAGATAACTAGGTAAACCAGGACGTTCTAAAAGTCTGCCGTTGTAGGTAATCCTATCTGTTATGTGTAATGTAGTCTTTCTGTGAGATTACTACATAGACGTTCTAAAAAATCTGCTGTTTTAGGTAGTCCTATTTTCCCCCTGACCAAGAACCTGCTCTATCATGTGGCTTGTAACGCAACAAGCTGCACTTGATATTGATGCATGCTTGTACTCAACGGAAGGGAACTCCTTGGAGGGTATGGAAGAAGAGGCACCGGGTACCACTGGACAGGCACCACAACGAACGGTTGTCAAGACAGCAACCAAGCTCTACGGAAAAACAGAAAACAACAACACCAACCTGCTGCTCAAAGGAAAGGTATATCAAACCTCGAGCTCGTACGTTGAACAGGGGCGAGCACTGCCGAAGAGAGGGCGTACAGGCATGATCGTTCAACACGCAGAGAATGCCTGCCCGCCGCACAGGCGCGGAGGGGGGCGGGGCAAGCCGTGAACGGGCGCAGCAAACAGGCGTCGAGACATCGAACCCGGCAAGAGCACCGCACACTGGCCGTTGTAGGACCGCGGTAGCTACCAGGGAATGAGCGCTGGCTGGCAACCACGCGTGCATATATTCAATTTTCTGGTGCGGTTGTTGGTGCGTTCGATCGATCGCCTGAGCCGTAACACGCGTGCTTGATTGAGCTGAGCTGCGCCCCGCTGATATTGCAAGTGAGCGCGCTCTGTAGGAAGGGGTGTGTCTGCGGGCGGGCGCGGAACTTTCTTGTCGTTTTCGTGAGAGGAGCGGGGGTTGTACAGTATACAGTAGGGGCAAACAGAAGAGAACGGTCCTACAGCTGTACATACTGTAGTTAGTCTATTTTCAAGTCGCCTTAAACAGCAGCGAAGTACTTTCTTTAACGGCTCCCCTCCTATACATAGGGGTCCAACAAAAAAAAAGTATACGAAGTACATATATATATATCAAGCGCGAAGCGCGAAAAGAAGGGTCGGAGAGAGACATCAAAGCAAGGGTAGATGGATATGGATGGAGCCTACACCACCACGTAGGTCACCAGTGCGCACGCTCACACCTCACCCTATGCCACCAGTCAGTCAGGGGATGAATGGGAGCGCTGTTTAGCTCTCATCATCATCAGCAAAGCGGCAGCAGTGCTGCTGCTGCTGCTGCTGCTGCTGCTGCTGCTGCTTGCTCTTGCTGCCGCCTCAGCTGCTGTGCATGGGTGCGCAGTTGCTTTCTTCGCTTTCGCTACTAGCAAAGGGCAGCGGACTAAAAATTGGCCCGGACCCCTCCCACGACGTGTGTATTTGGCCGCCCTTGGCTTACATCGCTGTGTCCGTCTCACTTGTCTCTGTTTCCGGTGTGCGTCTGTTGTGGAAGCAAAAGATCGGCCGGCAGACGAAGAGACCGCAGACAGAGATCTGACGTGTGTGCACTCGCATGTTCCCTTGCTTACGTGGCCAGCAGTAGGCCTCCGGGTCTACAAATAGCTTCCGACGCCAGCCATGATGTGTGCCTTTGGCCGGCCTTGGCCTACAGCAGTGTGTAGGCCTCGTTTTCTCTATTGTGGGGATGTGTCTGTGAGGGAAGCTCCAAAGATCGGTAGGTTGAGGGTGATGCAGACCGACCGCGGATTGACTTGCGTCGTCACTCGCTTGTGCTGCCGACAGCAAGCAAGGGGCTGCAAGAGTCATACCCAACGCCTCTCACGATGTGTGCCTTTGGCTGCCCTTGGCCTGCAAAAACAGCAAGTTGTCCAACGACACTGCACCATGCTCCCTGTGAAGGCCACATTCTACATAAAATTAAGAATGTATCCACCTATGCAGATGCTTTTGTTCTTAGCTCCAACTGGCATTACTGACAACTCAGTGTAAGGCTTACACAAACTCAAAATAAGCCAAGTCTCCAGTTCGTTTCAATCCACTTACTGAGAAGACTTCACATCCCTTTCGACTGAGGTAATATCTCGAAGGGGCAGTCTTTCTGTGAGGTTATGTTTACGTTCTACAAAAAGAGAAGACTTTTTCCTGCGGGATCAAACTACACAGCGGTACCAGTACATAGAAGGACGAAGAGACGAATTTGGCGGGAAACAACTGACTGACATCGACGGCATCTCTCCCCCGCGGTTTTGTAATGAGGTGGCACACCCCCGGAATCGTTTCGATTCAATTTGTCTCTCATGCCGCAGGGTTCATCAGTGCTACTGCTGTGGCGGTCTACATGTCTTGCATCTGGTCGTAAATTTGTAAAATTTATGTGATCGATCGGAGACCGGATTGTGTGCGGAAAAAAAAAAGCGGGTCTTGCATTTTGTTGATTGACTGATAGTGCAACAGAGAGAAGGCTTTCACTCTCGTCCCGAACAAGGCACGCTTGAGTCTCCCCGTTCTCGAAAGAACGACCTCAAAAAACACTTCAACCCTGGCTAGCCGAAGCCCAGGGCGTGTGTATTACTCGGAGAGAACGGGTAAACGAGGGCAACTAACGTTCTCTCCCCTCTCCATGTTCTTGTTTGGGTTCTGTAGCCAGGCGCGTTTCTCACATACCTGAATCTTTCGCAGCTTCGAGAGAAGTATGTCCAACTCTCTGTCAGTCGAGGGCGCCATCTCTCCTCGGTCCCCGTGCTGCCCTTCCCTTCCCTTCCCTTCCCTGTTTCTCCCGCTTTCTCAGTTGATGGCCTCGTTGTGGTACCGTGCGGCGCAGACACCCCAACTAGGGGGGTTCACGGCTATGACTCAAGGGCCAGGGGGGGGGACTAAGGGGGCAGCGATCCCATTTCCACAAGGAGGCGTGTGTATGGATCCACCTGCCGTCCTGGATCTATTCACACACACACCCGCACGACCGTGAACGGTATTATTCTACACCCGGTGTCATGGGGGACGAAAACGAGGACGATAGAATACAGGAGGATGCCAAGGAAGACTGTGAGGCGGAGGTAGAGCCGGAGCGACTGCAGTACAAGGCAAGGGGTTTCGAGTGGAGTGGTCGAAGACACACGAACAAAAGATGCGCGCCCGTGAGGGCCGCGTCAAGCGGCAGACTCGTCTTGTTTTTCGTCGTACTGTAACAGTAGGGACAAGAGCTATGACCCAGTTGTGCATAGAGTGTACCAGTAGCTGTGCAAACTTCATGTCTCACAGCCTGTTCGCTTCTTGCGAGAGGAACCGCCTTCGTGACAGAGCATGGTATCTACAGTAGATATACTTTTTCTACGGCTGTGTGCTTGTGGTGCAGTCCAGTGCAAGCTTCGCCGCATTTAACATGCCAATAAATTAATCATCACTCTTACCTGTATTTGGGCCACAAACAACAAGACTGCAGCAAGCTGCCGCTGCGATAGTTGTTGCGATAAGAACATAGGAAAAAATGCGTCGTTCCAGTCCACCACTCTACGGCAGGGCACTCCAGCTGTATAGCGCTGTCACACCGATCGGAGCTCTGAATGGCCAGCGCGTTTCATAGCGAACAGGGAGCTAAGGAAAAACTGCGGGTAGGGTCGCCCCTTCGTATGTCATCAGTATCACATGATCCACGCGAAGATGTGTTCGGCGGTGCTTTTTTGTTGGTGGAACCGAACGGTTCCAAGGTTATCCTCCTGGGAGACGGCACCGTGGGCAAGACGTCGATCGCTACGAGGTTCGCACAGGGTGACTTCTCCCAGATGTACAAACAGACAATCGGCTTGGACTTTTTTGTGAAGAGAATTCTTTTGCCAGGTGAGAGGCTTGAACCTACTCTGAACACTCTTTGTACTACCCATGATGCGTGTTCCTGCGCGGAAATATTGCGTGCTCCTGCCCGGAAGTTAGTATCGATCGTCTTGAGGTTTGTGTGTCTGCATTTACGTGTGCTAGCCGCTACTACAGCAGAAACGGAAATTATTTTTCGGTGGTCGTGCCGGGAAGGAACCAGGTTTACACCTACCAAGCCCGTCATTAACACTGGCAACAACGTTAATATTGGTGGAGAGACAAAACGCGTTGCTGGATTTCGTGGACGGGGCACACCTTTGACTCAATCTTCCAGGTTTTCATGAGTTCGCTTTTATACTTCTCCATGATTCACCACGCAACACGATGCTTCGGCCGAGCTTCCACCTAGAGTTTCCTCCCCCTTCGGAATTGCCCAACCAAAAAAAATGGCCCAAACGATGGTGGGAACCTTGGGATACCGTCGGGGGTATCATTGTACGGGAGGAACATTCTGCAGTACCGTCCTCTTTCATGGATTTGGTTCGTTCGGATAATAAAAACTCGGCAGCCCGGGGGGGTTGTATCGTATTCACATACGGTAGTTATGGTAGGAGCCCTGCCCCCCCCCCCGCGGATGAATCTGATGTATCCCCCCTTCCGCCCCAGCCGCCAGTTGTTCCAGAAAAGGGATAATTCTCGTGTGCATCAATGATAGCACTTCAGCCCACACGACGTGATAGTTTGCTTTCTCCTCTCGTCATTGCGAAGGTGATGTTCAGGTGACCATGCAAGTATGGGACATCGGAGGGCAGAGCATCGGGAGCAAAATGATGTCCAAGTACATTTTTGGGGCACATGTGAGATCAGGGGGGACGGGTCTCATCGTATGCTAGAATCCCGGTGGAATAACTGGAATTTCATTTTCTGCTTTAAGCGAAAGCCTACCTACACAGAGCATAACCCCCACAACCGTCGACTCTCAAGGATAGTGCACGGGTGACTGCTCAACTCACAAACCCATGTTCCGCTCTACCGATACATACGACGACGCGACATGGGTTCCCCACCGTGCCCCGCCCTTTCAGGCAGTGATAATGTGCTACGACATCACCAATTACGACAGCTTCCAAAACCTGGATGACTGGTACCGGCTGGTTGTCAAAACCTTCGAGAAAGGGGTGATGCCGTACGTGGCAATGGTTGGAAATAAATGTGAGCCGCGAAAGGGGGCTAATCAACAAGCTGCATTGACTATTAGTAGATAAACATGGATCTACATGGTTGCCATGGCCAGTTGACAAGTTTTGTTGGTTACGTTTTTCGTTTCTGCCTGCGATGAAAGGCCTATCAGTCGCGAACCACCCCGCTTCCTGGAGTTTCGTTCTCGTATTCAAGCGGTTTGATCGATCTATTGCCGTGCTCAGAGATGCAGATTGATCAACCGTTCGGCCGATCGTAAACTGTTGGAAAGGTGGGACTATCTGAAGGAAATGACTCTGACCTTCTCCGCCCCTTCGAGGACAAGAATATTTCCTCTTACTCTTTTCCTCTTACTCTCGCAATTCTTCGCTAGCGCAGTTTTTGATCTCCCAGCTAGACTTCAAACCACGTCGCTGTCAAACGTGTAACTGAGCACCATCAAACGTCTTTGTCTGCACCACCGCCGGATGGACGACTGCCGTGGACGCTGCAGGCGACCTGAGTCACATGCGAGCTGTGAGAACGACAAGCGCTCATCGGTTCGCCGACGACAACAACATGTACACCTTCTTCATGTCGGCTAAGTCAGGGGATCAGGTGCAGAAGAACGAACGTGTTACGCCACCACACATCAATCGAGGCTTGTTTCAGTCGCTTCGGCGTTCTCGCATGTGTCCCTCGCTGGCTCGACGTCTACGAGTAGCTCAATCGAGCTAGTCCTACCCATCGGTCCGCGCCTGTTTCTTACTTGTGTCAGATGCCGACAAGGTACTCCAAACGTGTCGCGGTGTTGCGCTCCAACCCGACATGGGTTAACGAAACCGTGCGTTTCATTTCCACTACAGGTAGACGCGTGCTTTCACCGAATAGCGGGCCATCTGTCAGGAGTCGCTTTATCCAGACCACAGCTTGACGCAGCTGGAGGAGTGCTAAGTGCGAGCATCGTCAACTACAGGCGCCACGACGAAGAAGTGCACGGTGGCGAACTACCCGATTACACCTCTCGACGTCCCAAGACTTGCACACTGTCGTGAATGACACAACAGTCTAGATTGTGTATTCGTATGCATGCATGCATGCTTCCGCTTAGAGTCGGCTGGAAGACGAGGTGGCGAGGAGGGGAAGACCGTGGGTGATGGGGTGTGTCCAAGAAGTAATATCTTGTTTTTTCGCGATGCACCGGAGCGTGGATGGCAACTGCTCGAGCTTGATTAATTACCTTACCCACGAATGCAACCACCTGGCGTTTTCCTACCGGCCCAAGAAGACACGGACGGTAGGAAATAGCGGTGTGCTTTCTCGGGCATGCTCCTCCATCATCCTGTTCCAGGCGATTCGATTCGGCCAACATTTTTATGTCCGCAGCTGTGTCCAGGCGCGCTTATGCGCACAAGACAGGCCAAACACCACAGCTATAGATTTCAAAGGCAACCAATCCTTACGGACGATAAACTGAAGCTTCCTCTCTCATTGTTAGTCCTTGTGGAACAAACGGGGCTACCGCTTTAGCGTTCGACGAATACTGGTGGTTTACACGCGGGCGAAACCCACACCCAGCCACACCCCGTCTATCGGAATTAAAGGTAAACTACGCGGGGTGCAGCAAGCACGTTCTGGACGTTGCTTTGGGGCACTGGGTACTCGGCCGTGTTATGCCGAGAGAGAGGTTGAGAGAGAGTTGGAGAGAGAGTGGGAGAAGGAAACTTGATTGGAGAGAGACGGTGGTGGTGGTGGAGAGAGACGGTGGTGGTGGTGGTGGAGAGAGAGAGGGAAGAAGTGCGCAGCACGCACGCAAGCCTCATCATCGCACCGACCACGCCCAAAGGGTCCCCGTGACTGCGCCGGTGGTACCCTTCAACACACGAAATTTCCAACACGTATCCCCCTGGGATCCTCACGACCAGATACTACTGCTGCGAGTATATCTAGCATCCCCCCTGCTCGCAACAGCTTCTCAATGAAAACTTCGCTAACACCCGATATCTCAACCAAAAGACGTATTTCCCAGAATATATACCATGAAGACTTGACCAGAATAATATCAGAGAGAAAAACAATTCAAAGAAATATGAATGCTGCATCGCGCTTAACAAATACTTGGCGCGGGAAATGAAACAAAACGGGAAGCAGAACAAGACCAAAACACAACCCATCAGAAAAACAATAAAATGTTCATGCCAAATTCATCACAAAATCACGGTGAGACTCGAAAGCATCCTTCGACAAACTCTTCGTAAGAAAGTCTGCACGCTGGTACGGCGACGGTACGTGGATGACCGACATTTCCTTCCGCTCTACCAGTTCCCTGAGAAAATGGTGCCTTACATCTATGTGCTTCGAGTTCGAGTTTGAGATGGGGTTCTGCGCTAGTTGAATCGCCCCCTGGTTGTCCTCGAAGATGGGGATGCACGGCATGCCGACCTGCGGCAACATGAAACGCCAAATCTGCCTCAAAAACAAAATCTCCTTC